TCAGACAAGCTTATGAACGCAGTCAAATAGAACAGCGGATGACCATGTTATGGAATGGTGCAGTACAAACAGGCACAGAGTCTGCAGCAGTTTGCAATCGCTGTTGCTAGCTCTATCACAAAATAGTATTTGTCCTCAAGTCACATGAAAATAATACATAGGCAGCAGCATTGACTCTCTGACTATGATAACACAACTATCATAACATATTAAATCACACAGGACAAATGTATCAGCATTAATATATAAAAAATATGAAAACTTTATTATTAGTTATTATATAATATTATTATATTACCAGTTTATTGATGCAGAGTCAAATAGAAATGTAGATCTCTACAGTAGCTCTAGAACTATAGCCCTCCGCTCCGCCGCAGGGAGGAGCTCCTGCTGCGGCTCCTGTGGCGCTCCTGCGCGGGCGGAGCTCCTCCTGCGCTCCTCCTGCGGCAGAGCTTTACAGCTAATAGCCATCAATACCACAATCTGCACTACTGGCATTGGAGTCAGATTCTGAGACTGAGTCATCAGAATCTACATATTCAACATTCTGGTCTTCTTCTAATGCACGTTTTTTCCAGACATTTTGACTTGGTTGCCGAGTACGAACTGTTGAACTATTCCACAGATGTATTGCTGGGTCAGGGTTGTAGTCTTTAATTTCTGAACTGTCTAATCTTATACAAATTAAATCAGTCACGGCAGTATCTGTAAGGCGGCTTCTCCAATCGGTTTTTGCTATTTTCACAAAGTAAAATCTTCTTTCACATTCAGACGAATGTGCAGGAATGCTCAAAACTAAGTCCACGAGAAGAAGAAAGTTACGAGCAACGTGGCCAACGTGATCTTTTGCCACGAAAGCACTTTTGATAGCGCTTTTCCACCATATTTGCCATAAATCCTCGCTTTCAATGCATTCCATTCTACCAGCGCTTCAGACACAACATCCTCAACATCTGGACTAGCTGCATTTTGTAACCTCTCTCTGTAGTGGCGTAGTAATTATGTTATATCTTCATCAGCAAAATCTCTCCAATCATGAGATGGCCAAGTCTTCAGATTGACGAAGCCGGTCCAATTGAAGTGTTCATTCACCACACTTGAACTAAATCGTATGACCAGTGCTGCAACCAGCTGATCAACGATGGGGCCAAATCGTTCTACAGTAGTGTTGTCTGTAACTTGAAGGTCAATCCCTTGGAAATCACCGTTTTGCAACAGTTCTGTCAACTTTGGACCAGCTATCTCTTTTAGTTTTTTAAGGCTAGCGATCGTCATCTCCAGGAACCCGTTGACATCAGAAATGTTAAAGTCAGTCATCTGAAACTGGAGTGATGTCTTCTTGAGATGGGTCAGGATATCAGTCACCATTGCAGTATTTTTGATGAACGTGGGGCTATTAAACAGGTGAAGGAACCCTTGGCCTTAGCTGACTGATCCGCTGAATGGGTATTCACTTGAAGCTCACCCAAGTGCTGTAGTAGAGCAGGGTAAATCTTCCACATGGTTTGTATTGCATGATGGGTATGGGGAATCCATCATGTACCGCACACACGAGTTGGGAATCCAGTGACATGCAGGGCTTCAGCAGCAACCTTCAACATACTCCTGTTAAGCGCACTGTCTTGGTAGAAGAAATACAAACTCTCTAGCAGCTTGGTAATTTTGAGTTTAGAGTTGCAGCTTTTCAATACATCCTTAAAGGGACAGTAGCAGGACGGACGCAAGCTCATGCGATTCTACAAGCTACATCTGACTCTGTCAGATGAGCTAACAAAGAAAATAAACTATAATACCTCAATGACTAGCACATCTTGACTGGCATCACCAGAACCTGGTATGCCATATAGAAAGGCATCGGATGAGTGATTAGTTTGGTGTAGTTTGAGCCAGAGTGGGAGCATGGGATAATCCTTCAATGCTGCTCGAAACATCACGTGATCATCTAAAAAAGAATTTTCCAGTGCCTTAATATATTTCAACAAACTATCATATTGGTTACAATTCTTTTACAGTTATAGATACTGAATTTTACCTGCACAAACAGATAAAATATTGTTAGATAATATGTATGTTTGACAATGTTAATACTAGCACTCATAATTTTGCTTTCACAATCAGCGCTCTGCAACCAGTGTATGATAGGTATAGGGTACTACTACTAATTCTTATTCTAAATCCTTTTCCTATGTTACACCAAATAGTCAATATATGTTGGCCAATGTTTATTTGCATATATAATTCTGCAAAATTAGGACAGATTGGGAGATTGCCTACTTTGGACCTAAACGCCTTTTTTATTAACACACTTCCAATTATGAAATGGAAGTCATTTGCACAATATTATTCACATTACGGCATTTCCCCTCTCAAATGTTTTTTATTAAATGCATTAGTTTCGTAACATGGGCTATTTTTATAGCATATTATAGAAACTAGATAAAAAGTAATTATGAGTGAAAATTGTATTGAATCACCATTGTTAATGCAGCTGTTCATACCTACAGTATTACTCAGTATTTATAACAGCGTCAATCTATTAATAATTCATTGGAATAGTTCAAAACTGCCAGTCTGATAAGAGGAATATCTAGGCATATGCCTTGTGCATTTAATCTAATCTACTATTACAGTCGTCAATTTTAGATTAAAAGTATTCTTTAATTACTACATGTATGATAATTAAAAATTCATACCTGCTGATGCGAAACGTGTTTTTTCAACTTTGTAAACGAATAGCTGCTTTGAGGTTGCCTCTTCGACGTTGCGCGCTCCATCTGGTGACCTGTGCAACATTAGCACACCTAGAGTAGAGTAAAAGCAACACAAGAATAAAATACAAATACTGAAACCATCTGTGAGATATAATGAAAGTGTCAATGACACTGTAGTCCACCACAAATAACGTTTTTATAATATTCAGATTTATGCACTGCCTAAAAGCGGAGCTCCCGATGTGTAACGTGTAAGATTGAGAGGATACGCTTATTCCACGTAGCTGCTATATACCACGTGACAATGGTGTTTCCCTGCCCATAACACAACTATTTTAGGTTCATCTAATATAGTAAATAGTAATATAGTAATCTCTTAATTAAGTCGGTCGCTACATTTTATGTGCATAGCACCCTTACCTATTTTGAAATGGAATGAACCAGTTACTGGAAATATAATAATAACTAGTCTAGACTCTAGACTACAGTCTACAGTCACGACACGCGCTGCTACAGCTATTGTCTCTGCATGCCTGTACAACGCGTTACTTCGGTGATGGCACCAGCCCTCAAATCGAATAGGTTCAATCACAATTTTATTCAAAGGATAATAATACTTTATTCACCAAAAACTAGGATAATACTTTTGTGCTACTTTTTCATTTAATGAAAGAATGTTTGGATTACATACAGTATATATAGCCTATATGGATTAGACTTAGGAGTGATTGGATTTATTATACTCCAGTGACGGAATGAAGAAGGTAGGTCAACATGACCCATTGTATGGTATGATTATTGTATTTTAGACATGCAGGGGGACATGTTAACTAGACTAGGGTCCAACAAACTCACCTGTACTATCAGTAATTGCTTGTACATTAATGGACGGGTAACGCTTCAGATTAATGTAGGCAGGTTCGTCATTGACGGGGCGCTGAATTCTGACGTGTTTTTCCTGTCAATAGCCCCTACCACCCCGGGAAATCCAGCGTGTTTATGGAAGCCTTCCTTCTGCTTTGCAATTTTGCTATCACTAGCAGGCCACTTGATGAATATGTTTCTTTTCCCGTACAGAGATTCTGTGACATCCTTTATAATTCTCGATACGGTTGCTTTCGAAACTTTTAAAGTGTCCCCAATTTCGTTCATGAACGCTCCAGTCGCGTAAAAACGTAGAGCTATCAGAAGTTGTACAATCGCCGGAATCGCGCATGAACGTTTCGTCGGCCTCTGTAAATTGTCTTTCACTATATCATGAAGAAATGATATTCTTCTCTTCCCGAAGCGGTACCTCTGCCTTAACTCCTCGTCATTCAATGTATTTATAAAATCGTATCGATGTCTATATTGCCTCATATTTCTCTCATTCATACGCTCGTAAATAATTGCGGCCTCTATGTTGTTTTTTAGCATAGCAACTAATCATGATTAGTGGATGTAATCATGCTCCTGAGTAGAATTAAATATTGTGATTAACTTAATCATGATTAACTTTAATTATGCTTCGTGAAACAGTCACTTCAACTTAAGTAAGAGAAGTTAATCATGATTAAATACTTAAGTACGCTTCGTGAAACCGGCCCCAGGTATTGAAATGTGGTATCCCCCCCAAAGATCTGGTATCCTGGATTTTTTGGATAGTAATTTCAACAATGTTGGTATCCAAAATCTTGAAATATGCAATAATAGCATTTGAAAATTATTAATATGTAATGTAATTATTATATAAAAACATGAAAACAGATTCACAGATATGCTCAGACAAGCTTATGAACGCAGTCAAATAGAACAGCGGATGACCATGTTATGGAATGGTGCAGTACAAACAGGCACAGAGTCTGCAGCAGTTTGCAATCGCTGTTGCTAGCTCTATCACAAAATAGTATTTGTCCTCAAGTCACATGAAAATAATACATAGGCAGCAGCATTGACTCTCTGACTAATGATAGAACCAACTATGCATAACATATTAAATCTACACAGGACAAATGTATCAGCATTAAATATAATAAAAATTGAAAACTTTATTATTAGTTATTATATAATATATATTATATTACCAGTTTATTGATGCGCAGAGTCAAATAGAAATGTAGATCTCTACAGTAGCTCTAAGAAACTATAGCCCTCCGCTCCGCCGCAGGGAGGAGCTCGCTGCTGCGGCTCCTGTGGCGCTCTTGCCGCGGCGAGCTCCTCCTGCGCTCCTCCTGCGGCAGAGCTTTACAGCTAATAGCCATCATAGCCACAATCTGCACTACTGGCATTGGAGTCAGATTCTGAGACGAGTCATCAGAATCTACAGTATTCAACATTCTGGTCTTCTTCTAATGCACGTTTTTTCCAGACATTTTGACTTGTTGCGAGTACAAACTGTTGAACTATTCCACAGATGTATTGCTGGGTCAGGTTGTAGTCTTATAATTTCTGAACTGTCCTAATCTTATACAAATTAATATCGTCACGCACGTATCTGTAAGGCGGGCTTCTCCAATCGGTTTTTGCTATTTTCACAAAGTAAAATCTTCTTTCACATTCAGACGAATGTGCAGGAATGCTCAAAACTAAGTCCACGAGAAGAAGAAAGTTTACGAGCAACGTGCCACAGTGATCTTTTGCCACCGAAAGCACTTTTGATAGCGCTTTTCCACCATATTTGCCATAAATCCTCGCTTTCAATGCATTCCATTCTACGCAGAGCGGCTTCAGACCACAACTCTCACATCTGGACTAGCTGCATTTTGTAACCTCTCTCTGTAGTGGCGTAGTAATTATGTTATATCTTCATCAGCAAAATCTCTCCAATCATCGAGATGGCCAAGTCTTCAAGAGTTGACGAAGCCGGTCCAATTGAAGTGTTCATTCACCAGCACTTGAAACTAAATCGTATGAACCAGTGCTGCAACCAGCTGATCAACGATGGGCCAAATCGTTCTACAGTAGTGTTGTCTGTAACTTGAAGTCAATCCCTTGGAAATCACCGTTTTGCAACAGTTCTGTCAACTTTGGACCAGCTATCTTTTTAGTTTTTTAAGGTAGCGATCGTCATCTCCAGGAAACCCGTTGACATCAGAATGTTAAAGTCAGTCATTCTGAACTGGAGTGATGTCCTTCTTGAGATGGGTCAGGATTATCAGTCACCTATTGCAGTATTTTTGATGAAACGTGGGGCTATTAAACAGGTGAAGAACCTTGGCCTTAGCTGACTGATCCGCTGAATGGGTATTCACTTGAAGAGCTCACCCAAGGCTGTAGTAAGAAGGGTAAATCTTCCACATGGTTTGTATGCATGATGGGTATGGGGAAATCCATCATGTACGCACACACGGAGTTTGGGTCCAGATGAGACGGATACTAGAGAAGGCGTTGCCGAGTAGAGTGATCCCAAGTTGCGCTGAAGCGCAGACTTTCCGCAGGCAGATTCCCGCGGCAGGCGCACCGACCGGATACTCCTAGCGACAGTGCAGCGCTGCAGCTGATGGATCCGTGCGCCGAATGAATTGGCGGCGCGACGATCCATAGCTGCCAGCGAACGAAGTGCGCAATTTAGTGCGCGGACAGCAGAGGGTAGACATTTGGGCAGCGTCAACAGTGTTGACTTGCTATAAAAACTGTAACGCGAGTAATCTTGTTTTCGTAACGCGAGGCTGGTGTGACGCGAAATTCACGAAGCACTGTCGAAATTCTACATGTCGCCGACCTTGCCAGTAAATGCAAAACGGCTGTCACAATCACGAAACACCTACCGGCGCCTTCCGCCCCAACGCTGCAAGAGGGGGGGGGGGGGGGGGTTGGGGGGGGGGTCGTTTTGCACGTTCCAATGGGCGAGGCTCGCTCCGAGGTGAACAGAGCTGTGCGCCGCCTGCCCGCCGCCTATAGCCCAATAGACTGGCACTCATCTCGCTCAGCACGCTCTCGCCTTATGCTTTAGTCACTCAATGGCTAATCGAGTGGGAGCGAGTCCTAGTATATATAGCCTTGTTGCACTCGCAACCTTCTGAAAGAGAGTAGGCTATACTAGAAAACATGAACAATTTCGTAGTAAGAGATAGATTTCGTATTTGTTAGCAATTATTATTTGTTATTGAACGCTTCCAAAGTGCTGTGGTGTAGTATATGCCCAGGGGTAATTCTAGACCCTCGCAAAGAGCGTTTCGTGTGCTAGTCGTATAGTAGTCTAAGTAGTACTAGTGTTCAAGGAGTAGAGGAAGCCTGGCTCCCAATACTTATATGGGCCCCCATGGTATGGGCATGGCCATAAAACCAATGTCATTGTAATAGTACAATCTAAATATAATATAAATCTAGGTATATCCAATGCTAATATAATATTATCATCAATATGAATAGGTTAGGTTATGGTTAGCGGTCGTCATAGGCTAGTACTAAGCCGCTTACATTAACTGCTCGCTGCAGACGAACGCTCGAACGCCCAGATAACCGCAGCGCCAGTTTAATGTTAAGGCCGGCTATATACTAGAGCTAGGTGTCGTCATTAATAGTAGAGTTAGTTACATACTACGTAACGAGAGTTAGTCATTATTACTATTACTATTAGCTCCTGCGTCCTAGGTAGTTACTAGTACTAGGTACTAGTAAGTGCTGGTAATCTAGTAGTACTCAGCTACTTACGAGTATGAGTAGTAGAGTGCGCGGTCGGGTAACAACGCATCTTTTGCGGCACCGCCAATCTTGTAGCACGGTCTCTAGTGCGCTAGTCGCTCAGTCTAAACGAACTGATGATCAGTGTGTGCTGTACGTGCGGCTGATCTTCCTGCCCACCGTGGCGTAATATCGCAAAATACGCGCAAACGGGCTAAGAGTCTGCAGAGATGATGCGAGCGCGGGGTCAACAGGTTCATAAGGAGAAGGATAGGATGGCTACGATAATAAAAACGCGGACGTGACGATTCGCCCCTGCCGTGTCGCAGATTGACTGGTACGCCGACGTTCATCTACGCCAAGTATCTCTCGCTAACATCTAAAAGTTAAGGTAACCAGAGCGTTCAAAACTCTCCACGGCGGCAGTCTAAAGCCTAATTGCCGTTGTTTCTGTGCAAAGTTCCTGCGAACATCCTCCTCGAAGAGAGACTCGTCGCCCCATCTATGGAGCGATCGTAACGCAGAATAAATTCAACGGGCGTGTAATTAAAGAATTCGAGAATCCCTTTTCTCCAACAACAACTAACCGCCAACCAAAAAAAGCTCCCAATTATCGACCATTTGAGTTATTCCGCTACCCCGTCCATTAATCCCAAGGCCTCTGTGCACAGCGCCCCACCGACTCCTGATTGACCGATAACCCACCCCGATTTTTTATCATAACCATGGAAATGTTTCTAAATGGGGAGCAGCGAGTTAGATAATGAAATGGCGCCACAAGTGCGCGAGAAGCGTTCGCGCGATTATTGCTGCGGAACGTCCAGTAAGAAGACGCGCATAAACACACGCAATTCTATGCACTTCCCAACCAGGGTGATGGTCAGTACGACATGAAAAACTTGAGGTACGCTCGTAGTGACAGATTAATAGCGTTGGCCCTGCAATTTTGTACTGCGACACTGAAAGTGTAGAACAAAACAATATTTTTCGGCCAAAGTTTACATACTTTTCATGCGTCCAAGCTTCACAAAGTAGCATGTGCAGGATGGCATTTAACTCCAAGTATTCCATGAAACCAACATATATAGAGTGGTGTAGCATTAACAAAAAGCGGTGACTAGTACTACAATTAGGCAACGCATGAGAATGGGAAATCATGTTTAGCCTTCATCATCATCATTTCTCCATGAATCATCACGTTCGTGATGCCCAGTCGTTTTAACCGATTCGACAGAGGTGAGAGAAGCAACTGTTGTGCCCAAACTTGCATCTTCCACAAAAACTTGTAATATAGCAGTAACGCACAGATCAGTGAAGTTACCAGTAACTTGGCTATTATGTACGCAGTGTGTAGGTAGGCCTAATATATACTTCTGGTTCCAAAGCACTAAGACCAGCAGCTAACTGGACGGCGACAACGATTTCATAGGTTGTGCACAAACAAATGTTAAATGACACAATTAACAATAGTATCTTGCTAAAATAGGTTACTAATTTTTGTCAACGTCATTCCAATCAAATATAATTTCAATTCTATATCATGGGGCCTAGGAATTACCAATTTTCACAATTGCCAGTTAACTAATAATTAATACACCATCAAAATAATTTATTTCTTCCGCGATGTCGCATAAGTAATTGACAGCTTTCAAACATCTGAGTCATGCAATTCGTATGCATCCTATGGATTATGGTATCAATTTCCCGAATGAAGTAACTGAGCAAAATACGAAGAAAGGCATTTATAATGGTCGGAGTAAGAATGTATAGTTGTTACGTGTTACAATTGATTGCCACCGATAGCATTACAGTGGAAATTACACAATTTCCAAATGATAGTTTAGGGAATGTATCGTTTAATGGTACCAATTTCGCGTAACTGTTGTGTTCACAAATAGGCCCTGACACGATGACAGTTACTAAGTTAAGTGAGTTTACAACTATAATAATAATTGGCATAATTAACACATGCTCAACAATTGTCAGAAGAACATTGTTGATGGTCAGCGTAAAATGCAATGAACAGTTACAAATAGTAATACATCCGAAATATATCATATTATCCATGTGGCTTTACCTGCACGATCGGTGTCCATTGTTACACATTGGCCCACGACATGCCAAATCGACCAAAATGACGACAGACAAACCAATGAATACGGAAGAAACGTACCCGCCGAAATCCTCCGTCAACCAGACTGCCAGACGTCAAGTAGGCCCGAACAACCGGCAATTATCACCGAATCTTCCATATAACTATTATTTACAAGTTACTAGTTAACGCAGCTAACGTCTGAAAAACAACATGAATTAAAACCATTTGTGAGCTTTGCTCCAATTATCCACTCAAGTCAACAACAACACTATAATGTAATCTTACACTAACCGCAACATTGATTCATCGCTCTGTAACAAACAGGCTAGTTTCCATCTCAGTTTCTCTTCGCACTTCGCTCTTCCATATTACAACACCCTTACTAAGACTACACACGCTTTATGAAAACTCCATCATAGATGCCCATCTCACCCAGCCTCTACGAGTGCGGCAATCTCATTTCCGTAACATTTACTTTGCGCTTAGTTAGTGTAGGCGTGTTGAACTGTCAACCGGGGAGGCAGTCTAAGTTTAGACCGCCGAGCACACGCGAACCCCGAAAATGCCCTAAGCCAACGCTATCCTTACCGCCTCGTTGCCCCCCTATATCGTTATCGTCTAAGCTCAGCAAGTCAACGCTATTCATTAGCTATTGTTACAAGTGACAAAAAAACTCCGTTATTACAGCAAAAAAGCGCGCCTAGTAACGCGAACAAAGAATTGGCAGCTTTTCTAGCGCAGGCTCTACCTAACTGGTTAGTGCGATCCGTCGTGGAATGGCGCAGAACTGCCGATCAGAGCGAAAAGCCGGCTTCCTGCTCTCCTGAAAGGACCGGCGATACTCTGCGTTGGGTAAAAGGCCAGCGATGTTGAGTAAGTGCGCCACTACGTGGCGTTTTGAGCGCTTCGCGCGGACATTAATCCGCTGCAGATCGTCCAGTGACATGCAGGGCTTCAGCAGCAACCTTCAACATACTCCTGTTAAGCGCACTGTCTTGTTAGAAGAAATACAAACTCTCTACGGAGCTTGGTAATTTGAGTTTAGAGTTGCAGCTTTTCAATACATCCTTAAAGGGACAGTAGCCTCTAGGATTTTACTGCATACAACTGTACTTACTGTATAACAAATCGTCTATACCCACACGTATTTGTTACAGATACCTAATTTAATTGTTATAATTAATTACACATCAACGCTACGAATTTGAACGGCGCCATGACACCGCGACGGTGCTGCCACTCGAAAAAAGTTGCATATTTTACAATTTATTTTGCACGTTACAGACCGAGGGCTAATCACAAAAGTGCAATTATATTTTATACCTAAATGCTATTTAACCGACCGATATTCATTTAGGGCAAATTTATTCATATTATAACTGAAACTATATGTCGTTTATAAGATATTACAATCCTTTTTGCTTTTAAATGAATAAATAGAAACACCACGCGTCTGTGGCCCTTGGCTGGAAAGTTTTGCGCACTTATCAGAATCGTGCGCTTTAAGTGGCGCCACCGTCGTTGTAATCAAACTGTAGTCGTTAGTTTTAAAACATTAAAAAAATTTTTTTCTAATGGTGATTGAACCATGAAACTTTTTATGTAGCGTAATTATAACCTAAATTAGCTGAAAATAACCCTAGAACCTAGAGTAAACTCTCTCTTTAAATGAAAGTTCAAGACGATGTGCCATGCAATGAACTGATGTCAGCAATGGTTGCTTTTTTTAAGTCTCACGCCAATTGGCATACAGATTCGGGTCCGAAATGCCCCCATACTCCTTTAGAGTCCGTTTGATTAGTTGCATAATATTTCCTGCATTCGCTTTTGCAATGTTTTGGAAAGCCAAATACTTGGTGTTGACTTTTCCCTGGTTACAGTATCTGACATACATGATCTCGGCTTCTGTTACTGACGAATCAGTGGATCCGTCGGACATCGCGCTATAAAATGGTGTTGCATTCAGTTCTTTTGACATATTAATGCGTTCATTCTCAGCAATGTAGGTAACAAATTTCCGTGCAGCCCTGTCATGTCGGTACGTTTCACCCAGATCCATTCCGTTAGCCTCTTCTAGGTCACATATCCAGGTATAGTCAGTGAATGCTTTACCTTTTTTCGCAATGGAGAGAGATTCTGAACAGTTTTTGTAATTTCCCAAACTCTGTCATTCAAACTCTTTAAAGCTTTTTCTGCCGGATTTGTACCTGGAACTGCAGATTCTGCCCTTTTCTTACCAAAACACTTTTTGTGCCCTTCACCAGGGTCTCCAACCCTGTGAACTCCAAATGTGGAATGAAATTGATGGACAAGGTGGCGAAATTAACCTTGGCTACCGCAAGCAGGCCCGTGTGCCGTAGGCATGCCAGTGCTAGGGGGGTCTGGGGCCATCCCCCACAAGAAAATTTTGAAATATTTAAGCCATTTTTCTGCAATCTGAGGCATACTGTGGGCCATATTCTCATGTCTAATGACACTATCTCAACCCTAGACTCAACCCTACAAGTTAGGCAAAAAAAAACCTGGGTTTCCTATTTCATGCTGAATAAAAATAGGTAGGGTAGGTAGGCTTTAACTTTTTTTTTCCAAATCTTTTTTTTTGTAATTGGTATTAGAAACTTACAGACAGATGTCGCCAATTACCATAAATGGCGCATGGCTTGACTAAACAGAGGTAATATAAAGACTCAGGTTGAGATTGTCATGCTTTGAGCTAGCCAGTGGCATCTATCACGCACAGACAAGTAAGTATTTAAAACATAGTATTATGTACGTTTATATATTATGCATTAAAGACTGAAAATATATGTAGTTATTTGTTGTGTTGTGTTCAATTCTCTTGTAGCACCACCCCGATGTTTGGCAAAGTGTGTACAATAGATTATATCTCTTGTAGACCACGACAAGGGATATCTCACCAAATCGCCAAAAACACTCGAGTATAGAGAACAGATTTTATAGTTGTGTGAACAAGCAACTATAGAAATACTCGATGAACACACACTCAGTGTGACCCAAGTAATAATGAATCTACCTAGTTGCTGTAATATGATGCACTAGCCAATTCTCTGACTCTAGTGCTGTCTTTGTTTGTACAATTCAACATTGATGTGTTCACAGTATATATTTGATCTGACAGCAACAGAATAGAAGAAGAAGAAGAATCTTTATTTACAATCATGGACCCTCTATGAGCCATACAAAATCACATGGGGAGAGCTTACTCTCCCGAACTATGACCGGGCGACCGAGCTATTAAATGATTCTGATTGTGATGGCCACCCGCGGTTACATACATTTTAGGTATTAAACAAACAACATCTGTCAGTGCAATGTGACATGAATAGTACTGCAGCTATTAAAATAAAGACAACTACTGATGCTCTCGCATAAATCCATTTCACAAATACACACGCACTCTCACACACTTGCCCACACGCGCACCTACTTTCTGTATACACACTCTTATTTACTGTTCACATATGCACACACACACATGTACGGCACATATTTAATAAAGCATCGACATAAGCAGAATGACTAGATTATAGAAAGTGACCAGATTATATATTTATACTAACAAAAGATGCACGTACACACACATAAACTCGCATGCAAACACGCACGTACACACATACACGCACAATCACACATACAGGCATATGCCAAACATCTACATGAAACTATATTTATAGAAGTACTGTAATTCTTGAAAAGTCTCTATCCCACTCCTCAAGGCTAGGTGATCTTGATATTGCAACAAATATGATATAAACTCCTACACAAATACTGTGGGCTTCATATTATAAACTTGAAAAACCACATCAGAATTGATGTTTATAGAATAATGTCTGAACCATGTAGCTGCTGTTTTCAACTCTTACTGATAGTATCAACTGTCTCTGAAAACTTCTGTATATATATCAAATGTCAATATATACTTGGTGTCTCTATGAAATCAAGTTGGATCAATCCTGACATTGAAATACAGTTTGTCTCAACTGTCTCTGTAAACTTGCAAACACGTATATTAAAATTAATACATACACACCTTCGTAAAATTCACAATTACTGTAGGCTTTGTAACTTGAATATTTATATATTACCACATCATATTTGAAGTAAAGTCTGAAACTCTGAAAGTCTGAACTATGCAGCTACTGCATTCAACTCTTGTTCTTATTGTTGGCCTCAACTGTCTATGCAAACTCACAAAATCGTATAGTACATACACCCTGTATGAAATTGCAATATATCCCTGAGTTTTCTCCCTCGGAGATGCACAAGAGATAAAACCCTCGTATCCAGACGGTTTCTATTGTGGACAGATATCACCGTCAACCCACTGCTTTGTGCCACATGTCCACACAAGATAACACCATGGGACATGGATTTCATCTACATGAATTTGACATTGCAGCTCTATTTGCCATATGGTCGCTGTACAATGACATTTTTCCCCTCGTGTCGACAGCTTTCACAAGTTGGCAATACAGTCTTATATTTCCACCTCAGATCTTGGTCCACGATTCCTTCCAGAACACCACAGTGGCAGCACATGTCTGCTTGACTGAGCCCACTGCCATAATAGGGTATCTCAAGTGGCGATGCACATGCAAGTGATCCTCTAGTCATCACTTTCTGAAAGAGGGAGTTTGTTGGTGGCAGGAGAGCAGCACCACATGTGTAGTCAAACTGACTCATGCTGGTAACGAGTGAGACTCTCTGTCTGTATAAAAGACTATTCTTGCAATATATCACTTGGTTTCTCACATTCAACGCAGCTCACAAGGAGCCGCGCTGTCTGCACAGAGCACTTGTCAGAGGACATAAATGGAGCTTCAATAATTCGCGACGTAGAATCCGGTACTGTCTCTTCAATGGTACTTGTCCCTTCCGGAACATGTGCAGTGTCTCTTTCAGGCACTTCTGGAGCAGGCACCACTGTAGGAGCTCTTTGTGCTTTTTTGCCCTTCGCAGGTATTTTCAGTGATGGCCGGTCTTCTTCTGTAGTTTCTGTGTCTTTTTCGGTGTCGTACCGCTTGTAGTGTAGTCTGTCGTCAGGATCAAGAACTGGATCGGGGAGCCACTGAAGATCCTCCGGTGGAGATTGAGGTGCCAAACAGCAGTTTCTGTCGCCACATTTCCTTATTTGGAAACTGTAGTGGCGAGAACGGCAGTGTGCGGTCAGCCACTCATTGTAAGATTTGATCTTCTGTGTATGTGTTTTCTGCAGTCGGTCTACGTTTAGGTCTGGAAAGAGTTCACGAAGATGGCGTTTCAAGACATCTATTTCAAGATCTGAAACCAGATCCATTACTTGGAAAGGATCGTCCTTCAACTTCAGACGACTGAACCTGTTGCGAACAACTGACTGTACTGGCTCGATTGACTCTGCCCATCCCGCTTTGATGTCGTCTTTTCCTTCAGCTACCTGCCGAATGCCATTCGTGGAATTGCAGGACTTCAGCTTGGCCTCAACTTCTTTGCTGGCTGGTTGACGTTCTAAAGACACATTTTGAAGCCCCAATTTCAGGATACTTATAACACGCTCTGCTGGGTTAGTCCAGCTTTGACCCGGCGCACATCTGGCCAGGACCAGAAGGTCCAGGTCCAACTCTTTAAACAGACACATTTGTGCGCACTTCACACTCCAAGTTGTTTCTTTGGTCGGTTCCGCCATCTGTGAATTTCATCAGAATTTTGGGGGCGTCTGCCTTCTGAAGAATTTTGATCTGTGAAGCAGCGTGTCTAAATGGTGACGAAGCCTGAAACACGCTGTCATTGACAATGGTCGTCACCACACCCCGCACGAATGACTTATCAACGCTTTCAGGAATGGTACAGTTCAGAGTCACTGATGGGGTCAATGACCCCTTGGTCATGTCATGATCCATTGCAGTTAGAGTAGTTGATGTGGAAGCGATGCTGGCTTTACCCCTCACTCCGGTTGACACAGCCAATCCTGGTTCCCCAAAGGGAGGGAACCTTTGCTTTATCGTCGCAAAACAATAAAGCAAGTTTTCCCTTTAGGCGAATTGCCATTTCCTTCAGATATTTTAGCTGGGCCTGACAGAAATGCTCATCCTGGTGGGCTGATCGTAGTTGTCTCCTTTGTATCTTGTACTGTACATCGATCTTTGAAGTGAAATTCAATGCCGCATGTGTGTAGGGGTTTCTGGGAGCAAATTGCAGTCGTACCAAGCTTTTTGATGGTATGAGTGTTCCATCCGGGCACAGTGCTGTGGCTTGCAAGATCATATCTGGAAGGGAAATGAACTGTGATAAATGGGCAGTGTTGTGTGATAGCAAGATCCAAGATGGCTGCGCTAGGTGTTGATCGATTATCTATGTGCTGTCTATATTTTGTCCTCTCTTTAGTCAATATATGGTTATTCTATCTATACTGTGAGTTCAATCTATCCCTCCTGATCTAGTCTACTGCTCCTGTGAGTTACACACCCCCGAAACCTCCACACTAATATAACGTGTTACAAAAATTCGAAGCGACGAGCGGCGATTCTTCCAGCGCCATTTCTGTAGACCTGTGACGTACGCATTCCCAATGCGCATAGCGTTCGGCTAACTTTGACTCCAAGATCGAATGTATCATTGGATGTCTTCTGTCAGTCGTGACGTCATGACGAAGTTAGCCGAACAGTTCCAGGATAGCGGAGAAAGGTTCGTGTTCAGAATAAACCCAGTTTGGAAGTTATAGTCTCTGAAAACGCACCAGCAAACCGCCCTGAGTGATTCACTCAGGGGTTCCATCACACAAAAGGATACGCTCACGTTGTAACCCTATCCTGTGTTTGGTTACATATTGTATATAGGCTAAACTGCGTTTGCCATATAGGTGCGGGCGGACATACGGGAACTTTGCCACATCCGGGACTTTTTAACCTAGCAACCAGCTGTGCCGGTGAAAACAACAGCGTGTCTCCGTGAGCTTACACACGCAATACCCCATTTCCAAACTAAAAGCATATTAATTTCCTTGCATATATGCCGAAAACATGTGTAGTAGTAGGTTGTCACAATCATATATATTGCACAAATAAGAAAAGATATTTTTTTGATCTGCCAAAATGACATAAAGCCCACCGCACACGCTGTAGAACGCGCTGCGCCATGGCGTGGGCGCATGCAAAATGCGCAGCGTCTGCCGAGTGGCTGTGTAAAGTTCCACACCATCTCTATGTAACCGACCAATAGCAGGAGGTCAAGCGAGTCACGTGATCTAAACATGGCAGCACCCTGCGGGATGGTTGGAGAAGTTTAGCTAGTGGAGAAATTCATTGAATTATGGCCGGACTATCCGTGTTTATACGATGTATCACCTGTAGAATTCAAAGATAAGGACCCCCCGCCCCACCCCGCCCTTGCCTCTTCAATATCCAACTTCTCGACCATACTGTACGGTTAATTGCTCGCCGCCGACGCCGCATCAATAAAATTAACAGCGTTCCTACTTCATCCATATCCACGACTCCGCAGGGCGATGCCATATTGAAACCGTGTGACTCGCTTCACAGTGGGCACACGACGTCGTTTCAACGTTGTTTCAATATAATATATTGGTCGAAACTACGTCATGACGTCGATTAAAGGCTAGGCTTCCGACTCGGCTTGCAGTCAAATGCTTGCGGTCAAACGATTAAACGCTTGCGGTTTCAGCGCGGCATTGATTGATGTACAGGGGGTGGGGCATTGTTTAAGTCGCATTCATTGAATATGTAGGGGGTGACCACCACTGGGATGAGCCTGAGGGCGACAGTAAAACTCTTTCTTGGAATTGTGGGAAAGCTGCAAAAGGGTTGTAGCCTGCTTTGCCACTCAATTACATATAAACCCTGTCGCCCTAGAAAACTTAGATTTTGCAAAATCTTGGCAACATTTTTGCGAGCCGCCAATTTTTCCTCTTGATGGGTTTTCGACATGATTTCTCCAATATTGTTATACACTTTAGTTAATATAACGACAGCGTCCGCTGCTATTAGATGACAAGTGGATTTTTCGTGGCTTTTAAAGCAATCCAGCCCCCTTTTCCAATTCCTGAAACCATATTTGAAGAAAGCAGCCTCTTTGTTTCGAGCTGTAAACAATTTTCTTTCTTTCTCAGCTCTAACACATAAATGGCATAAGACTGAGTTGTTATGTTCTACATAGTGCAACCAAGGATAAGTGTCAAACCAAGATGGTTGAAATCTTCGCTTCTTTTTCCAATATAGTCTGGGCTCAAATGTAATATTTCTTGGTTGGTTTGGCTCGTTAGGAATATCTGGTATAGTGTCAGGGATGGATGCTGCAGATGCTTCCTCTTCAGTGGTCGAGGTAATTGAAATGTGGTTAGCATCAAGTGGTCTTCTTGTTGTTTTTACAGGAGGTAGTGTTGGTGGTGCCTGCTTCTTCTTTGACTTTGTTTTCATAAAGGATGCTAGACTTGACTGAACTTTGCCCCGTTTTTAGCTCACCTCGACATTGTCAAGCTGAGCTATTGCCATGGGTCGTCGTCCGTCGTACGTCCGTCCGTCCGATAACTCAGGAACCGTTGGACCCACATGTTTGAAATTGGGTATAGTTGTTACTGCTATGCTTCCATATTAAACGTCCTATTTTGAAGCACGCCAGGCGACGTACTTTCGAGCCATGGCAATTTTTTGGCAAAAAATGGGAATTGCCATTAGTCAGTTCAGGTTCAACGGATTTTGCTCATTTTTGGTATGTGAATGAATAAGGGCTAGGGGTTTTGATATTTAAAAAAAAAATTATGCAAATTAGGTAGGGTTTAGCAGTTATATAGCATATTATATAGACATAAACAGTCTGTGGTGTCACACTCGTCTGGTTCGTTTTACAAGATTTCATTGACAATATCTTTAATGCAAAATTTGTATTTCCTCTCCACCCTGCCGATAAAACGTCTATATTAGAGTAAAGATTTACAAAACATGTCGGAACGCAGCATAACCTATTTATTTCAACCGCCATCGCTACAAAGCAGGTATAGCGCCATCTACTGTCACAAATTGTGATTCATTTTGGTTTATAAATTATTATTGTGATATACAGATGGCAATCGTTTCTATAATGTTCGTCGATGGTTGCTCAATTAAAACGGACTTCTTCTTACTCACTCATTTGTGTCCTTTTTGTGGTGAGCTACAGTGTCATTGACACTTTCATTTAAGTGTTGCTTCTGGAGGGGTGGGGCTCCTTTCTAAATCAACATCCACAGGTGATGGTGGCTGAGAGACAGCTTCCGAAGGGGTGGGGCTCCTTTCTAAATCAACATCCACAGGTGATGGTGGCTGAGAGACAGCTTCCGAAGGGGTGGGGCTCCTTTCTAAATCAACATCCACAGGTGATGGTGGCTGAGAGACAGCTTCTGGAGGGGAGGGGCTCCTTTCTAAATCAACATTGACCCTTGAAGGCTGTTGAGAGACATTTTTATTCTTCTGACCCCTTATGTCCCCAGATTGTCCAGTCTGCATTCTGGTCACTGTAGTGTTTAAAAATAATCAAATAATCAAAATTAAACTCGAAAGGAATCAAACTCTTGTAGTATGTTTAACTATGTATATATCTATTTTATTTCACAACACCATGCTGCCATTGTAAGTGCAATAATTATTTGACCTATACAGCCATAAATTGGAAATGATAATGGTTCATAAACAGGAGGATCCAAATGGGCAATTCCATTCAGGGTGACCAAAATTGCCCAAACTAATATTTCATCTCCTGCTTTTATTTTTAATGCTATCTCAACAAAATTTAGCAGAAGTGATTAGTTTTTTATGCTCTATCCATCCATGACAAAAAAAATGTTGAATAGATGTCGGAACTCAAGATATGGAACCATCAATAAAAATGTCATTCACAAAGTCTTTATTAAATGGTACACCCGTAACGTGGAATAACCCCTATACTGATACTGCCTACCTACCTGTTGCTGTTGAAGTTTTGTTGCCAACAGAAACTTCGGCATAAGTAGCAGGACGTCTTGCAGGAGTTTGTGAAATGCTGTATTTCATCGAACAAGAAGATGCATCGGAAGCATTATGCTACTTTTTTATATATGTTTACAGTAATTGACTAATAGTAAGAAATAGTTACACAAATATCAAAGACTGTTAATTAAGTGGGTTCTAAGTCGTGATGCACAGTAGTTCTTACGTGTCCAGGGCAATAGCAATTTGGAAAGATCTTCTGACTTCAAACTCAATTTCTCCCGGAGCTTTTCCCATCGAGGAAACTGATCGCCAAAACTCATTCGGAACCCTTTCCGACTCACATAGCTCTGCTTGGACCAAAAACGTCTTCTCTTCTTCTCTGAACTCCAAAGTACACGCCCTACTGCTTTCATGGTTGTTTGATTTGTGCTAGCCAAGCTCGCGGCTCACCCACTCACAAATACACACTACGCTGCGCCTCACGGCGTACGGCCTGGGCGTACGGCCAGCGAGAATGCTTATCACACTCAAATAGATGCCCCTTTGTTTTAATTATGTGCACTTGTTTGAAGACGCCATTGTGATTTTGAGAGTCGGCATACGATAAAATTTATTGCTGGTATGATGTGGTCAAATCAAGTTTTCTATGCTATAACTGCCTAAAATCATGTAGTTTTGAATGTTCGTATAATCAGTGATATTTCCACTGTCAGGTGAGACTATATTCGGCTATATTTAGTTTTTCTGAGTCAAAACAGTAACTGTTCTGTACTGAAATATTAGTATTTATCTGAAGTGAAAACCATGGGGCCGTTGTCAGAAACAAAATTAGTCGCAACATTAGTCTTACCATTAACTTCCACTCGTAAACCGTTGACAGAAACATCGTAACATGTTGCGAGAACGAAAAATCCTCGCAAATATCCTCGATAACATTACGAGAGCCCAGACCCTCTGCCGTAACTTTCCTAATTCTCGTAAGTTGACTCGAGGAAGACAAAATGGCGATGATAGTAAGACGCAGAAGAGCACAAGTAAACGTTATTTACACACGACAACCTAATTTAATTAGAAAAGATACTGCTGAGTACATGGCGGATCTCACTGAGGCGACGTGTCGCGAACGTTTTCGCGTTACGCGTAATACCGTGTTCCGGTTAACCGAAATGTTTTCCGAGATGCTACAACGACAAACTAGGCGACACTGCGCATTGGCCCCAATTTTGCAGGTAAGTTTCGTTTGTTTTTTTAATTATTTAACATTTCAATTGATCTAAGAATGTTTAGGGCTCATGTCAGTTTTGTACAGGGATTTCGGCGCACACACGAATATTTCCGCACAGACAATTTTCTGTGACAACGTAAACATTACTCGATGCGAGTGCATTGATGCCTTGCATTGATGCGACGCCATAGCTCAGCTGCTTGATTGCGATTTCAATCGCTTATTTGTTTCCTTTATTTACGCTTGTTTAGTCTAATTAGTTATCTAGCTTGTCCGTCTTATTATATAGCATTAGTGATACTAATACTTGCGTAGTTTGAACATTGTGCCTACATTTATTATTAAATATTATTAGTACTACTACTAGTAGTACTAGTACTAGTACTGTCAGCCTAGGCTACTCAGCCTACTGTACTAAGGTAGTACTAGTAATAAAATAGGCTTAGCCTCATTGGAAGTGGACATTGGCAGTATGGCTATATTATGCAGTAAAACTCTCATAAGTCGTCATATTCTAACTCGTCGCAATTTGTATAAGTCGCCATGGAAGTGAAAGTCCCCGATTTTCTCTCATAGTAAATCCATTGGAATACGAATAGCCCCGTCTAAGTCATCATGCGCGTCATGCAATCTCTCCATTCGTCTTGGCCACAAGTTCCTCTTCTCGCTTAACACTACGTTGGCGAGAAGTTCCTACGACATGTAACAATCAGAGAGCCTGGGTCTAATCAGAGAGCCTACATTTATTAAAACTAAATGACGCGAGAGATTGGCGTAGCAACTTACAGTATGCTTGGTCGCCATTAGACTTGTAACATGTCTCTATATATTGTAATGTTTAGTATGCATAGCACGAGAAGGCGTAAGAACATTAGGTAAACACATTATCTTATTCACGCACGGCGCGGCAGAACCACGCGCCGACCCTTTACCGCCAGACACACACATATCCATACGCGTAAGAAAACAGCGCAACATATGATATATGACACCCTTCTCTGAGAGAAGATGCTACACACCTGAATAACTGTTTCAGTAAAATTGTAACACAACTAAATTGTACTGCCCTAGTGCCGCTTGCACCAGATGTCTGACCGCACACTATCCAAGATACTAAATGGCCACTACTCTTACCAACAAATACATGTGTGAATTGTTTGTGTTTACAGTCCGTAGTAACAAATGGAATTAAGTAACAGAACAAAGTTACACAAAATTGTCTACATGACTTGCTTGAATACATGAACACAACTTGCTTCAATGTCACAAACTCAAATTTCTTGTGGTGGTTTTACAGTTCGACCTGATTTAGTTCTGTATGCATCGATTCCTCTTTCTCTGGAACAAACTGCGCCATGACTTCATCGCGGCCTCTGGTTCTGGTCGAAACGAACATGTTTTTTGGGGCGGTGCGGTCAGCTGCGTGTTTGGTTGTTGATTGGACCTCAGTGTCCAACGACTCGGGGTTAACACGAGATGTCAGATTGAAGTTCTCACCGGTCTCGCGGATAGAACGTCGGTTCCTCCTGAGTACAGTCCCGAGTTC